GTTGTTCCTGTGAGTTTCTAGGTGCCTAAAAGTTAGGTGCTGTGATGCTTAGCATTGCAATGCCTCAGGCCTTTTATGGATCCCACCCACAGGAACCATCTTAGCAAGTCAGATCAGCAGTCCATCTAGCCCAGCATCCTGTCTCTGACCATGGCCAGTACCAGATACTTTAGAAAAGCAAGAGAAAAAACCCGCTTTATTTTGGTTTACATTGCATCAGTAAATTTACAGCTGCAAGGTAAATCAACAGAACATGTTTTCAGCTGACAAGTGTGTCTATAAAATGGTTTGGATTGGTTTAATTAAATTGATTTTTAAACTAATTTTCTGTACGGCCTGTGGAGAAGTTGGCTATGCTGTGAAGCACGAGAGCTTATATACATTCCAAAACTTAACAAAAAAATATTTTGATTACATACCTATGTACATGTAAAGTTTGTGAGAGAGAGATAAGAAGCCAAAATTTCTGTTGTATAACAGGTTGATGCTCAGTGTGGTATATGGAAAGGTATAGACAGAGGGCCCAATACTATAGACCTGTCTCACCAAAAAAGTACCATTCATTTCAGATTATATTGTATATGAAGGTTGCAGGCCCAGGCTCACATGTATTTATTTTTAAACAGGATGTTTTGTGAAGAAGCTCATTAGGTCTGAATTTCATGTAAACAAAGAAGAATTACTTTTTTTGCACAGCTAATGGCAGCCTCCTGAGAATTACTGACTGGCCTTAAATCAATAATACTCCACAGTGGCCCAAAATTTGTGTATTGAGATAGGGAGGGCAGTATGAGATCAAGAAAATAATTCTGATTGACCCTCAGGGAATACTGTTGCACTTTCCGAGTATTTGTGCAATAAATTCCCACAGGTCAGTAACATAGGAACATTTACAGATGCAGTACTAGAGAGTGGGAGGAGGAGGAAGTAGTTTTAACCATGGTTAATTAATAAAGACAGAAATCCCTAAGAGAGACCAAGGGTGAAATTTTTCAAAAGTTTATCTTCTAGTAAAGACATGGGAGTTTTACTGACAGAGTTACACCAACAATGAGTGCTTTGGAAACCCCAAAATAAATTACTGAGAGAAAACTGGACAGAAGAATGAGCCCCAGAGAAAGTGTTCATACATGAACAGTGCTAACAGAGAGAGTAGTACTGGGAGGCCACCAAGTGTTCAGGAGACTCCCAGACACTTGCATCATCACAAAACAACTTGCACTTGGTGAATCCAAACTCATAAGAACATAAAAATATAACAATGACCCTACTGGGTCAGACCAAAGGTCCATCTAGCCCAGTATCCTGTCTTCCGACGGTGGCCAGTGCTAGGTGCCCCAGAGGGAATGAACAGAACAGGTAATCATCAAGTGATCCATCCTCTGTCGCTCATTCCCAGCTTCTAGCAAACAGAGGCTAGGGACACCATTCCTGCCCATCCTGGCTAATAGCCATTGATGGACCTATCCTCCATGAATTTGTCTAGTTCTTTTTAGAACCCTGTTATGGTCTTGGCCTTGGCCTTGTTCCTTAGAGCACAGGTTGACTGTGTGTCATGTGAAGAAATACTTCCTTTTTATCTTCACTTTCTACAACCTTCCTTGTGGTTAGTGCCAATGAAGCAAACAAAAGAGCAGTCATGTTCACGTCGCATTTAGTGACAATACTCACTCAATTTCAGTTCAATGGAAGAATTCTTTCTCTTTGTATGAGGCATTTTTGATAAACTTTTCTAAATTTGATTTTTGAGGTGATGTGTTCTTCACCCGAACCTATAATCTACTCAAAGTGAAAATCAAGGATGACAGGACTGGGCTCTAAGTCTTTGTCTCTGCTTTATCTCTGTATAGTTTCCCTGGTTATGACAACAGCTCTGTTTACTGAGATGACTTTGGAGAGAAGTTGTGGTTTTAATACTTTGCCTGATAGTGAATAAATGTGGATGTTACTGTGCATTTGTTGGACAGGATGGCAGCCACAATCAAGAAAGATCTGTCAGATACCGTACGGTATCAGAAGATTACCAGTCATATCCTTCCTTCACGTATACACATGCAATACTAAAGGTATTTGGAAATTAAGGGAAGGATGTGGTCCTACACATTTCATATACCATATCTTTGTATCCTGTTTTTAATATTAGAGATATCAGGTGCAGCCTTAAATGTCAGAGACTTGAGCAAACACCCAGTGTAAAGAAAATTAGGGGCTACATCTGGAGGTGCATGTGAATGTTTGGCCATAATTACTTATTTTTGGAGGCTCACCTTGAAAACTATAGCCAGGCTGTGATGGGCGAGTTAAATATAAAGTAGATATTGAGAAAAATAAAATAATATCTGCAAGGAAAGGAGGGTGGGAGTACACAGGTACAGAAGAAACACCATCCCACACTTCAGGAGGCATTGATGTACCGCCAACTATTTTATTCAACATTTTTCAGCTGTGTCATGATCCCCTCAGAAAATTCACTCTAAGGGTGTTTTCTGATGAAGGTAGCAGTCTGTTCAAAATGTATCTATGGCTAAGTCTAGATAGAGAGCCCCAAATGTGATCCTTATGTAGCTATTACATAGGCAGCCCTCCCACTGACATGAGTGAGAGATCTGCATGAGTAAGAGCAGCAATATTGGGAGCCAGGTCAGCTGTAGACAACCTCAATGTCAAAAGGAATAGTATGTAAATAAATGGTCACTGTAGTTGCCTAACAAATAAGAATCAAGAACAATTTTGAATAGGAAAATAGTGGCTCAAGGCCAGAGGAAGTCACATAATAAAATACAATCAATACATACAAATTGAGAGATGGCAATAAAAAGATTAAATATACCCCCAAAGCATTCGGCTGAGATAAGGTAACTTCTTCTAAAAATATCTGAACACTTCTGTTCTTAATGGTTCAAAGCCATCTTCCACTGATGGTCTGTTTCTCTTATGAAGAAAAAATGGAGCCAGTTACAAATAGAAATGACTGTCTGTGAGACAAATTAATCTTGTAGCACAAGCAATCCTTTATTAGGATGTAATTATGGTAATGAAAGGTAGCCTCTGGTGGCCTTGAATCATTTTATTTTTCTGTTTCAGAGAGAGACAGGTCGTAGATATCTGTGATTTAGTAGTGACATAATGATACGATGTTCATCAGTCTTTGCAGATGAACAGAAATATAAAGGTTCCTACCCTGAGGCATTTGCAATCTGAAGCTGACTTAAACTATAATGAAAAAGTGATAGACCATGGGGGGAGGGCAGCTGCGGAATAGAAGGAAAATAACAAAAAGCAAGGGAAAAGAGAAAACTGCTCTTTCAGGACAACCTTATTTATAAAGAATGAAGATCTGATGATACCTTGGCATCAGTTTCTCACTGCTCTTCTTTAGTCTAAGGCAGTGGTGTGCAATCTTTTCCTGTCACGCCCCCCCCCCCCCCGATACCAGTAATGGAATCTGTCCATGCCCCCCCATCCATTACTGCACAGTTGGCTCAGCAGAGTAGCTTGGGCTGAAGGCAGAGCTGGGGGCAAACCTATGGATGAGGGGAGGAGCTAGGGCGAGAGGCGGAGCTGGCCTGGGGTGAAGACAGAATGAGAGCGGAGTTGGCCTGGGCGCAGGGGCTGTGAGCCCAGGGTCAGGAGCCAGAGATGTGGCTGGGGCCAGGAGTAGAGCCGCAGCTGGGAGCTGGGGGCCAGGGCCAGGGCCAGGGCCAGGGCTGGAGCTGCAGCTGGGGGCTGGGGCAAGGATTGTAGTGGAGCTGGGGGGCAGAGCAGGGCTGGGTGGCAATCCCTCCCCATCCCCATGGAGGGTGGCCCAGGTCCCACTGTGCCCCCCCGAATGTTTCTTCATGCCCCCCAGGGGGGCACGCCCCACAGTTTGGTGACAACTGGTCTAAGGTTCCTGAGCTCCCATGTATAGCACTCATTCCGCATTTTCTTCCATTTAAGTCTTTTCAGTGAAAATGCTTGTTAATAAATATTTTTGGATTTTGTTATGAATATTGCATATTGTTTAGCTATGAAAATTGCATATGTAGGCTGCTCTTTTGCTGAAATGTAGGTGGTTTTAATCATTTAGGTGCCTTATGCTGCGAGTTCCTTAGAGCACAGACTTTTTTAATGAGGCCTTGGAAAACACCCAGTGCACAGCAAGCAAATTGTAAGCAGGACCATTTTTAGGATTTATGGGGCCCTATGCAGTATAATTAAACTGGTGCCCCTATGCTGGCGCATTTGGCTATGTGAATACTGGTGTCCCTATACTGCCGCCACCTATGCCAGCGCATTCAGCCCTGTGAATACTGGTGCCCCTACCCCAGAGCATTTGGCTTTGTGAATACAGCTCCTGCCTTTTGCCTAGGAAGGAGACTGCAGCGCGCACTGGGTGTGCAGGAGCCGACCCACTCTTACCTGCTGTTCCGGTCATAGGTGCGGACTCTGTGGGTGGGTGCTCCAGGCCTGGAGCACCCACAGGGAAAATTTAGTGGGTGCAGAGCATCCACCGGTGCCAAGTTCCCCACTTCTGCCCCCCTACCCCCACACGCTGGCAGCCCTGCGCTTACCAACTCCTCCCCCTCCTTCCCAGCGCTTCCAGAGCACCGCGAACAGCTGATTTGTGGCGTTCAAGCTCCAGAAGTGAGGAGGAGCAGGGATGGGGCACGCTCAGGAGAGGAGGCAGGGAAGAGGCGGGATGGGGTGGAGCAGGGGCAGGAAGAGGTGGGCGGAGGCTTGGGGGAAGGGGTGGAGCGGGGGGCAGAGCTTGGAGTGGAGAGGGGGGGTCAAGCACCCCCCCCAGCAAGATGAGAAGTTGGTGCCTATGGTCCCTGTGGTGCCCCAAATTTTCGGGTGCCCTATGCAGCCACGTATACTGCATATGCTTAAGGACAGTCCTGACTGTAAATGTGAGAAATAATCAACCAAATTTCTCTTGCTCCAGGAGCAAGAGAATTTCCCTTGCTTCATTCAGGATTATCACTGACTCCCAGTGAAATCAACAGAAGTTAAGTGCCTAAATACCACTGAGGATCTGAGCCCAAATGTTCTGGGCTGTGTTCTTGTTTTTGAATCTTCTTTGTGTTGAAGCCAAACCCGAGGAAAGGCACTTCTGAACTGTATTTTGGGGCTTCATGTTACCTTCCCCAGCTGGCGTATCTGTCCCTGGCTTACATGCATCAACAATGAATTCAGTGCTGTACAAGATAAAGTTTAAGTCAGCCCCTACATTTAGTACCTTATAATCTAAACAAGAGGCACCTGGCATGTAGTGTAAACAAGATCCCTGGCATGAACACATGATATGGTACAAAACATAACATATGAACCATGGTAGGAATCACCAAGGGAAAACCGGAGCTATTGCGTAGATTTGCATCAGTTTCATCACAGCAAATTTATGTCTGTTTGGGGATTTTAGTAGCTCACTTTACTATTTGTCAACTTTGTTTGGAAATATTTTTATTACAAATGCAAGGTACGCCAGGGAGAAAGAGAAAACACACAGAGAAGAAAAGTTATTGACATCTGCAGGTTCAGCAAACTAATTATTCCTGCAGTGCAGCTGCATTCTTGAATTTAAACCAGTATTTGCATGCCTCATCTTTAAAACAGGAGTTTAAAGAGAATGAAGTCATATAGTGAAATTACTATTATGAAGATAGCTGTAAAATATTTAGCCTGAATAAAGCTAAGACAAGCAAAATCGACAGAATTAAATGACACATTAGCTTCCAACACTTTTGAAGTTTTCAAAACAAGCAGTACACAAATATATTCAGTGTTATCTCACCTTGGTGAATTATGCAAACGAAGTATTTAAAAACTTATCTGCTATAAGGAAATTAAACAGGAAAAAAATCAGGATACAAACAACTGTTGAAACTGCTTATTAGTCTGTTCTGATGATTTATATGGAACAGCTGTCTTTATTTATTTATTAAACCAGAGAGTATAGAAGCTAATCTCACATTTCTCCTAGCATGGTCGGGACAGGAAGGAATGGAAAACAGAACCAGGGCAAACAGAACTAAGGCAGCATAAGTGGTTTCAGCTTTCTCAAGATTTGTTTTCTTTGCTGTATGATTTGCAGTACTTGCCCGACAAAAACATAGCTGAATATGAATACATATGAAGTGAAATTGGAAACCAGCAAAGATTGAGACCATGCTGAAAAGAAGTGTGAAAGCTATGTCTGTCTCTTGAACTATTATATAGCCTTTTAAACATTTTTGCCAGAGAAGTTTTTAACTCAAGGCCATGACCAAGAAAAATACAGGTATGACTAATAGCAGAATGATCCACAACTTTGTATAATGACAGCATGCAACTTCTTCGAAAAGCTCTGCTGATTTCACTGGGTAACTAAGAAGAATATAATAGCCCCTCTTACACAACTAGGAAACAGAATCAATGTACACACGTAGTAGTATGGAAATAGTATCTGGCCAACTTAAATATAGACAATCTCTCCAAAGTACCGGATGTCATGACTTGTGCAATATAAAAGCAGCAATGGAACCGTGATAACAAAGCAAATGTGTCAAAAGCAAATTGACTATGAAAATATTACTTGACCGCCACTATTTCATTGTAAATGAATTCATGACTGAAGCCACAGGATTTACAAGCCAGCTTATTGCCTATCAGGTGCCATGCAACAGAGTTTAATCATGTACAAAAGTCTGTTTTGATTGAGTTGTCGTTATTCAATATGAGAACTAGCTTTCATTCACAGAGGTTAGACAATGAAAAGGCTTAAGATATATTTTCCTTAAATGACTAGATCTAGCAGCAACATGAAGAAGATAGCATATTATACATAACCATCATTTTACACGGCTACGTTGATTAATTTCAGCTTCATAAGGAGAGCAAGTAAATGAACTAATCTCAAATCTACACGTCTTTGGTACAACTGAATTGTAAAATTCAGCATAAGATTTATTCATGGACCCCGCAAGACATTGAGCCAGTCGTGGTGATGGGTGCAAATTAAACACTTTTGCAGCATGTGTGCACATTAACACTTCTTACACTGTTCATTTCCAGTTGACAGCCAGAATTATACTGGACTGATAATGTTATGACTTACCTGTTCATAATGGGATCTGTGAAGCTATTTACCCCTCACTCCTTTGTCACCTTGGGTGTTTTTTAAAAAGAGGGGTGTTTTACTAACAAAGCAACATGGCCCATTTGGTGGCAGGACTTGTACTGGCAGTCTGCATGTGGAGTTGCTCCCCCATAAATGGCAGTCAAAAAGCTTGTGGCTCCAAAGCCACAGTCAAGACCTAGTATTATCACTTATGTCGAACAGTTTGTTGGGATTACAAGATATTGGCAGAGTTAAAATGTTTTGACTAGGCTCGCCACATTCACATTTGGAGTCATTTCTCAGGGCTGGTAACTTTAACTTCCCCACATTGACTTTCACCACCATTTATAAGTGTCATGCAGCTAGATTTTTAAAAACGTAATTAATGGAACAGAACTTAACAAGGGGGAAAGAACATCCATGTCCTTTTTCCCTACACATACTGCAACTGGGACTTTCCCAGGTCAGTATATGTGAAGCTGTGGTTCTCCTTACTGTCCTCCAAGGTGAAGTAGTAGGGGAAGGGAGGTGGCCCCTGATGCCACGTGGAATGTTGAGGGGAGATGGAGAGAGGTGCTGTAATGGAGTTCTCCATGGGCTGCAGAGTGAGGTGGGCCACTGATTGTTTCACCTGTCCATAAGGCCCACAAGAACCTGCAGAATCTATATTTGCTGCTGGAGAAGCCCCATTATGTACTGGTGCAGCTCCCTCTCCTTTTCCTGCTGGGACTTCTGGGCCTTTCCCCTGCCTGCTCTTTCCTTCTCCAGGCTGTCTGCAATGTTCACCCTCCAGGTCCTTTGCTCGCAGCCTGATGCAGCACTGGCTTGCAGGATCTCATTGAACTTGTGTCACAGATGCACAGAATCAGTGCTACGTGCCCAGCTTTGGAACAGTCTGTAGGAGGAACCCCTTCAGAGATCCCCTATGAGTCTCAGTCTTCCTGAAGGGTAAGCCATGTGGCTTCACCACCTCCTTAGACTAGACCTTTGGGCCTTCAGCACTCCTGCTTCACACTGTGAGCGCCATTCAGTGAGTCCAACTGAGGTTGACTCCTGTTGGAAACTTGTACGCTCTTCAGGGATTAATGCACTTCACCAAGCACTTGCAGTGACATCATTGGCAAAACAGTTGGTTTATTAGTTTACAGGAACACAGCATAGGAAGTCCTTTTGGGTAGCCTAGAAAACTGAAGTTTAAAACATAGCCCAAGTCCATTCTGGTTATCCCAGAGCCCAGCCAAGCTGAGGTGAACTTTTTGGTTCAAGCTCCATCTTTCCTTCCATCGTCAGACTCCAGGTGAGAGCCCTGACACCTTCCAGCAGTCAACTCTTATCCCCCCACTTCATACCTCTCCAGTCTTGAGCTGGTGATTGTTGTTCAGCTTCCCTAAGAAGAGGCAGGGAAGTCCATATCCCTCTGGGTCATTGGTTGCTAGGTGTCAGTGTCCAAGTGATTGGATTTGCAAATGCTTCATTGATATAGGAACCTAGACCCAGACAGTCAGGCTGCACCCAAACCTACGTCTCCTAGCCTGCCCTGAAAGCAAACAGTCACTTTCCACCCCATCCTCCCCATTGCCCCCGTCCCCCGGATAACAATACAGTATATAGGGGAAACTGAGGCACAAACAGGACTCAGAAATGTTACCAAAATATTCCCACTTCATCACAACATGTCATCCTAAGTCCTCTTCTTTCTCCTCCTTATCTGTCTCACGCGTTCTGCAGGTGTGGAGTGCGAACCCTTCAAGGCCACAGCGGTGGCAGCTACAGATAAAACGCAGAGGTACCATTGTCAGTATAGTCACAACTGAAAGTGAAAGTTAAGATTTAGAACTCCCTTCCCTTGCTCCCCTCAAGTGTTAAACAAGACATGCTTATTGACACTTCTGCTTCAGAGTGCTTGTGCACAGCACCACTCACAGCATCAGCCATGGCGATTACGACCCTCCAGGAAATGACAAGGGAATTGCTCAGTTGCATGAACTTATGAGTACAGGACAATGGCAATGAATATTAGCACCTTTTTCCAGAGGCCGTGGTGATTTTAGCCGATATCTCACTCCTAAGGGTAACAGAGGCAGAGAGAGCATGGCTACTGCTGGCACCCCGAAGCCCTCCAGGCCCATCTACCACTAACCTGTTCATTGCAATGGTGCCTGACGAATGGAATGTGTCCTACCACGGAGGAAGAAATAAGGCCGCCATCCCTAGAAAGGGAGAGGATTGCCAAGTAATGAAAGTTTCATCGAGATCTCTCAGGAGGATGCCAGGGACATCCCTGTGCACATAAACAAAATGTTCCACATGGCCTCCCTAAGTCTACAGAGGAATGAAAAGCAGATAACTCACCTCTCTTTGTTGTACTGCTATCTCTTTTAGTACAAGTAAAATAACAGGACACAGTCGATGGCTGTGCCCTGTTAAGTTGGGGATGCCATCAGTACATACATAATTGAAACGGGAAATACGATTACACACTTACCCAAGTTTCCTTCCCCTGCATCGGGCTCACCTGTGCTCAATTGCCCAGACTGACTGGATTGTGGTGGAGTCTCAAAAAGGTCCTGGCTCATGGCATAGCTGGACCTCCATCCTCCTCCTGTTTCTCCTCCACCTCTTCCTCATCCTTGCTGTTCACACCAAGGGCTTGTGGCTCAGGCTTCTCAGAGGTATCCAGGGTGGTTTGCGGGCAAGGGTGCAGTCTCTGGCAAATAGTGCATGCAGCTTTTTGTAAAAGCAACAGGTCTGTGACTCAGCACTGTTTGACTGTTCACCTCCCTGGCCTTCTGATGGCTGCCACAGTTCCTGCACTTTCATGCAGCACTGCTGCTGGTCCCTGCCATACCCCTTCTCCTTACCCCTACCCCCAGTGCAATCTACTTGTAGATGTCCATGTTTCTACGGCTGGTCCATAGCTGTACCTGCACAGCCTCTTCCCCCACAGGCCCAGGAGATCCAATATCTCCTGTCTACTCCAAGCCATGTTTGGAACATGGAGCCAGCTCAGTCGGCCGAGCAGTTGCACACAAGAATGGAGAGCTGCTAGGTGTGCTCTCCAAGCTGGACAATCAGAAAAAGGGATTTCAAACATTTGCAGGGCTTTAAAGGGGAGGGAGGGCCTTCCGTTCTCCATGACCCCTGGGCAGTGGAGTTCGCAATTGTGACCAGACTGGTCTGTGTCAGGCATTGTCGGACAGCTGCTGGAGGACTGTTAGGGTCAACATAAGTAACACAGTGTCTGCACTCGACCATTGCTCAATGCTGCTTGGGGATGTACTGTTACTGCATCACTGTAACAGGACACTTGCATTAGTGGAAGACAAATTTAAGCATAGACACATATGCAACTATGTTGACGCAAAGTAGTTTATGTAAATCTAGCTTTGTGGCACAGATTAGGCCTTAGATTGGTTTGTGTCATGAGATTATTTTTATCAATATAATCTTTCATAGTGTACTAGTTCTTGTCTTAAAATCTTTTCCATATGCCACTGTGGCTAAGGAAGCTAACAGCATAGCAATGACATTCTGCAGTCATTTTTGAATATTATTCTGTGTTTTTAGAAAGTATGATTAAATCCTACTCAGAATACCATGTTCTGTTATTTAATTCACTGTATCTTGGCTTTGGGAATCCACAGGATAAGAATGGAGCTATGTATATTTATTGTTG